TCACGTCTGTCAACTTCATAACTTATGTCAATCATTTCCGTTAGCATGAAGGAACAGTTATATTAGATTGTCATTCGATATGTGTTGTGTCATTCGGTTATGAAATTTGTCAAATAGTTATGTAACAATGTCTCAACGGATATGTGAAAAGGAATAATAATAAAGAACCATAAAGAAATACAAAAATGAAAAAAGGATCAAAAGTGAGAAATAATATATGTATGTTGTGTTGTTAAAAGTAAGTGAAACAACTGAGACCCTGCAATTGTGTGTAATTGAGGCAGAAAGTCAGATGAGCAACCTGAGACTTGGTCACAATTTTTGTGATGCCATATGGCAGCAGGGTCTACCATTAGACAACACATTATGCTTCCAACATCTTCCCAGGCGGTAGTACCTCCCTGTTTGGTAGCTGCCTATTACCAACTACCTTGCTATCCACACACCCCAACACCGAGATCCTCTACCTAGGGGATTTCAATTTACATCAGAGTGGCTTGACTCTGGAAGGGATGACCCAGGTGGAGCTGATCCACTCTCTTTTTCCTTACTTAATGATCTAAAACAAATAATTAAACACCCTACACGTGTTCCAGATCGACATGATCAACATACCAACACTTTTGATCTTTGTTTTACCTCTAAGCCCTCACACTATTCGTACTCAATTTCCGCCCCTATAATGTCTACTGATCACAATATTATTTCTATTAAACCAAACTGTGCACGACCACCCCCCCCTAAAGCCAACTAGGGCACAATCGGAGGGCAAACTGGCAATCCTTGCGAGAATTCTTCTCCGACTTTCCCTGGGTTGAATGTTGCTTTTCCACTCGGGACGCCTCGGTTTGTGCTGGCAGCGTTGTTGGGGTTATACTGGGTGGTATGGGTGCATTTATCCCATCTTCTACCCAAACTTTCACTTTATAATCATGGTTTGATCGCGCCTGTTCTCTTGCATGTAGGGAGAGAGATCGGGCATATCAAGCTATGAAACTATCTCCTTCTATTACCCACTCCTCATTCATTACTTCTAGGAATCGTTGTAAGACTTCTCTTCGTAGGGCCAAGCAGAATTTTATAAAAAGAAAAACCGCTGACTAACTAACCCTTCTTCTAGTAAATCCTTCTGGTCCTTAACCAAAAACATCTGTAATAACTGCTGCACTCCCTCTTTTCCGACCTGATAACTCTTAAACCAATTATCTCTCTGATAAAGCCAATCTCTTTGGCACCTTATTCTCCTCTAACTCCACCTTAGACGATTCCAACTCTACCCCTCCTACTCCTGCTCCTCCTAGTGAACCTTTGCACTCTCCTATAATCTCCACTAGTTGGGTTGCTGGATGTGAGTAAGGCGCATGGACCAGACGGAATACCCCAAAGACTATATAATAAAGACGGGAAAGCGTCTACCTTTATCGATAAAAAAACGTGAGCCACTGAGTTCCGATCAACGCCATCTGTTGGCAATGCGGCTAACTAAAAGCCCAGGGCGTGAGGGTAGCATGTCTACGTTTCCATGGTAACCGGCGGAGTGCGCTGATATTGCCTTGACGTTCTTAATGTGTACACATGTGCACACACACACACAGAGACACACCTAACCTGAAGGATGAAGCACACCTGCATTGCCCCAAGCTACTGTCCTGGCCGCGTGGACACACACCTGCCCAACTGCATCCAGCCCATACGAGCACGTGCTGATTGCTATGGGAACAGCCCAGTCCCAACCACTGTAAAAATTATCAACACCTAATTATTATATATCATATTTGTATCACTTATGTTACCTGTATATCATTTGTGAATCAGGAGACCCAGTCCCAATTATGTAATTGTATATTTTCAGCCTTCCGGCTGCCATGCTCTTTCAATAAATCGTTAATTATTATTTTTATCACACACACACACACACACACACACACACACACACACAATATCACACTGTAAATTCTATATGATCAGTGATATACAGTATAGCAACGTGAAAACGTGAAACACAAGCCTCAGTACCAGTTCGAAACACACCATTCGGAAAATACCTTTCAGAACATACCATTCGGAACATGCCCGGAACATACCAGTTGGAACATACCAGTTGGAACATACCATTCAGAACATACCACTCGGAACATACCACTCGGAACATACCACTCGGAACATACCATTCGGAACATACCATTCGGAGCATACCAGCCAGAGGACACTGGTTGGATCGTACCTGTCGGAACACATCAATCAGAACATAATCAGAACATTGAGCTGAACAGGTCGTCTTTTGAAGAGACACCCGAGCCCAGGGAAGAGGTAGATGGAGGAGTAATGCGAGTCCCGGCAACGCCTGAAAGGGGAATATTCGCCCAGGTTGGGCCCATGGTTCCTGGTCAAGGATTGACACTAACTGAATAGAACCAAGACCAAGGGGTGTGGAAGGCACCAGTACACCTACTGAACAAGGAGGACGATTAGAGGCATGGACAGCAGACAGGGACAGAGAAGAAAGAATCCATAACAACGTCTACAGGCAAAGTATTATACTATCTATAAGGATGCTTCAATACCAGACCATGACGCTCTAAGAGCGCTTGGAGGAACTGAATGGTGTAGCAGAAGCTGGACGGATGATTGACCATCACGACATTAATATCATCTGCAATAGTACACGTAAAACAACTGTCCTCGGTGATGTTCACTGTAACAGTAATGGGAGGGTATTCGTGAATTTTATTCGTAGTCATACAAGAAAAGCATTGTAAACGACACAAAATGACACATCTGATGGGAGACAAGCTTGATTACGCGACTGGTTATCACCTCATAGACAGTAATCCCAAGGTTAGGATAATTTCTGAGACAGCAGAGACATGGAGAGATATACAAGACAGTGGGTACCATATACCGTATAATACAGTATATAACAATACATCGCCACTCAGTCGTACCAAATAGAGCCGGTCGAGACTGTAGTGGACGTCTCCCCTACAACTGCGTAGCCGCATTCCAATGCCACAGTATCCTAGCAACCAGCCACCTGCTACGTCTTCCCTAGCAACGGAGTCGAGAAACCGGCGAGTTCCCACGGATTTACTTCCGGCTGCTGTGTATATAAGCTCTGTCTCTCCATTGAGATTCATTCTGGCCTCGGTTCCTGAACACGCAACAACACCTCCTCCGCCGCTGCCTGGCGGCCCTCGCTTCTCCTCCGCCTGCCTGGCGGTCCTTGCTCCCGCCGGTGAGCATGGCGACCTACCAGCTGTCCTTCTCTGAGCGTCCTCACCAACCAGCTCTCATTCTACTCTACGTTCCTGAACACGCAACACCACCTCCAAGCAAGCTCCTCGCTGTCCAGCTTTCATTCAACCAGGAGGCCAGCAACAGGCAACACCTTCTCTAACGAAGCTCCTGCACATCTACCTCCTTCAACACGCTACTCACCGAACGTGTCTACTGAGCAGCTCCTCACCACACGGCATCTCCAGCACCAGACTGTCTTTCATATAATTAATATTATATAAGAAAACCACCACCTAGAGTTTCCATCAATCCCATCCTGAGTGCTAGACAACATAATATCACGAAACCCTACAAGACTCTCCACGTCCGTGATAGTAATTAGAGGATAAAGTTAGTTAGTGACATTTAAACTCAAAATAAAAATCAGTCTTTCTTAGTCCCGAAGGGAGTTTCAAGTTTTTAGAATACGAGGAAGGAGGAGGAGGAAGAGAAGATGGATGAGGAAAAGGAGGTGGGGAGAAAGGAGGGAGAGAAAGAAGGTAGTGTGGTGAGCTTGTAGGCAGCGGGTGGTGGTGTGGGGTGTCTGGTGTATTGGACTGTACTCTCCTCAGCCACCCGCCTGAAGTAAAGTACAATGAAATAGGGATGGAAAGGGGATATAAAAGAAAGAAATAAAGATTTGTAAAGTAAATGAGGAGAGAAGGAAACCACAAAAAGAAGAAAGATAGGGGTTGATAACAACATCAATATTAATAAGAAAAAAATAATGACATGAATAAAAGTAATAGTCGTATTGAAAACAATGTTACATTGTGAAATTAATAATGGTTGTAATAATGATATGAACTAGAATGTAGTAATAAAAATTAACAAGCTATAATAATGATGATGATAATATCAATTCTAATTCTAATATAATATACTAATAATTATAATTAAAAGTAAAAATACTACTGCTAATAATATTATTATTTTATTATTATCAATAACAATGTAATAATATACTATTTATTATAACTAACAGCAAAAAGACTACTCCTACTACGACTACTACTACTACTAATAATAAATAACAATAATAAAAAAATGTATTGTAATTTGTTGAAAGAGCAGTTATTCTGCAGGATACAGCCAGTTGTTTGGTGGTATAATCACGACTTCATATTTTTTTTTCTGTGTGCTCATTGACACAAAGATGAAGATGGTATTTAGTAACGCAGCCGGAATGACCGCGTCAGTCGCTTCATCCATACTAACTAACACACTAATCTACATTCCTCGACGGGATAGCGCATGGAAATTTGTTGCTCCTAGTAGGTAAAAAGTGGGTTCCGAGTGTTGTGTGTCAGTTAGTCTCGTGGTCGGCAACGGCAGGGATGAAAGTACATTGCCTGGTGCGGGAAAGGCCAGTGTGTCGGGGTAGGAGGATGACCGTCAGGTCTGTACACAGCTGAAGGTCGCGGGGTTCATCCAAGGGTCACTCGGTCCCACTCACTCTTACGTCTCACAGATTTCGGATAAATTAAAGTATTTTTAGCCTTATACAGCCAGTTTCCACCGCTGGAAAGTGTGGTGTTAGTACAGTACAGTACAGTACAGTACTGTACTGTACTGTACTTATCACTCCCAGAAGACAGTAATAGAGATTGTGGATAAATTAGATTCTCAACAACAAAGTTGCGTGGGGGAGAGTCCAGCCAGGTTGCCAGGTGACGTATATAAGAGGTCTGACCAGCCACCCGGTAGCTTTATTTAGAGTGGTGTTGACGACGGTTTAGGAAGCAGCTGGTACTGCTGACTGTGACGCTCACCTAACACAGGCGCTGTCGCTCATACTCGCCATGGTGTTGTTCAAGGTATTCTAGTAGAGGAAATATTGAGCAGTTGCCCAAGTCTGTTACAAGAAAGAATATATTGCTACACAATTGTTGCACAGTACTAGCAGTAGTTTCCATTTCTAGTATGATTTAACGCTACAGAAAGAGCAGGTGATATTTTTACACGCGTATGTCAGAACTTTTGTACAGTCCCTGACATTTCCGCGTTTGACACTCACCCATAAATGTGAACCCCGTCAATGCGGGGGGGTGTAAGGAAAAGTGTTAAGAGGTTGGGGAGTGCAAAGGGCGTAGGAGTAACTGAGTTTTGTCCTGCAGGCAGTTATGTGTTGTTTCACCATATTATGGATTGATGGAGATGGAAGAGGGCGATTACGTTTAAGAAAATGGGTCTACATTTGTATTAAAAATATATAATTAGTGATTTACTAAAACTTTGTAATGAGCCCAGTCTTAAGTAAACATATAAACCACCAGGACAATAGCCTCACGTAACAAGCAACCCTCCCCCCTCCCCTCCCGCCCCTTATGCATTGCCGGCCCCCACGCTCCCTCCCTCCGTTGGAAGATGATATAGCATGTATTTCAGCTTTGTTGGGGGACGATGTATCTTCCATTCCACTCCTCACACACACCTCAAGCCACCCATGACAACACTTACCCAGTATTACCACTAACTACCACACATGGTGAATTTAGATTTCGAATATAAACGTAAACAGCCAATTATTTGACAATAAAAAGGAGAGATGTTTTCATGAATGGAGAAAAGAAAGTTTTACAAAATGATTTTTTGCGGAATTGGTGACGTAACAATGCCAATAGCCAATAGCAAAGCACCCGAGGTAATGTCAGGCCCCCAGAAGTGATATAGCTCAGAAGCTTTTAGTAAACCAAATGAACCGGAACGAAACCCAACTACTCTGAGAGGTCGTGAACATTGTTCATAGTGGACAGATGGTATTATGGTAGTGGAGGAAACTTGACTAAGAGAAGAAGCTTTATTCCTAATATTTCATCAAAGGTTTTTTCAAGGGAATGAACACCCAATACGGGTTACTGTTATTTATACATTCATAGGTAAAACAGAATCAATCTGAATATCACACAATACACATAACTACTCTGTATGCATTGAAAATTTTAAGTTTCCAATCCGCATTAATTGCGTGCAAATGCTAATGACAAACAATTTCTGTAAGTCAAATATTTGGCTGACGTTCATATTGGAATACTGAATTCAGCATGTATAACGTGAACAGGCGGCTCTGCTAGATCAATCATTTAATGAGAGCAAAATGTACACAACAACGGCAAAGGATCAACAATGCCAGACAATGTGATGAGTAGATTGATGTCAAGTGATCTTATCAGCCTCAGTGTAGCCAGTTACAGTGTGCACTTGACATATATATTCATTAGGGCTGAACATGATGATTAGAATTCTTAAATATTTAAGTTGTAAAATTACCTGCATGTAAAATATGCCTTACATTGATAATTAATGAGGATGTTCCGGTAAGAACATTTCCCGACATGCCATCCATGTTTTACCACAAATAAGAAGGGCGGTTTCATTTGCAAATTCTGAGTAGGTATTCCGTCATGTGTCCGTTTTTCCCACGATTCACTTAGTAAGAGAAGGCATCTGCAAACATGTGGTTATTTAAATATTGTCCAACTGCATGCACCACAAAACTCGGTGACACACGCACCTGCCCTCCCCAACCCTCCTCCTCCTTCCATACCTTCCTCCTCCCGCCGCCACACACACACATTGTTACAAAATAAATGAATCGCTGCCTGTTGCTTTAAATTTCCTAGTCTTACATTCATGGGGTTCACATTTGTGGGCGAGTGTCTAACGTGGACATGTCCGGGACAGCAGTGTCTATGAAAGTCTTAAGATGTGTCAGCTAGGCCTTAGTCCTAACAAACTTCAGTCTTAATTGTACTCGACCGAACAAAATTCACCCAGTTAGACAGGAGCCCACTTAGATTGAGGCTCAGTGGGATTGGACCCCACTTCTAAATGATTTGATTATGTTTTAGGCCCTAATGTGATGAAGCTGGGGTCATGGTGCTCTATGGTGGACAATGACCAACATTATTCAAGCTAGACTTGTCTAGTACACCAAGGATAAGATGAAAAAATGTTGAATGAGAAAAGGCAGATGCATGTCCTATATTTATAGAACAGTAGGTTGTACGTACACCCACTAGAAAATTATTCGGCACCCGTGTCATATTGTATCACGCCGTAAGGGTGCCGAATAATTTCCTAGTGGGTGTACACAGTAAAAAAAAAGTATCGCACGGATTATGTGCGAAACAATATGACACCAAGGACGAGGGAAAGTGGAATAAACGTGTTGGTCCTGTATTATGGTGGTAGTCCTGCTGTCCTTGCCTGAGGGTGTCCTCACATACCTGTTGTTAACGACATATCCTGCCGTATATATAGTTGATGGTATAACATAATATAAACACATCAGGCGATGTATGGATCATTACGGACGTCAGCAGATTTCCCCCTGCGCGATATTTTTTGTTACCGTGTGTACCTGGAACTGTGTAAGAGAGAAGAATGTTTTTTAGTCAAGAAGTGCGAGAAATGCTAGATGTTGATAAGGTTCGACAAAAGGGAGGAATGGCATAATAAAGAATGACTATGTTGAGACCAGAGTTGAAAGGAGGAATGATAATGGTTTGGGTTTCCACGCTGACCATGAACACACGGTAATGAAAAGATTAAAAATATATGGTGGTGTTGAGAGGTGTTGTTGAGGACGTAAGAATAAAGGAAACTGATTCCGGCCTATTATGCCATACTAGGTAGCCTTGTTTATAACCAACCCCTATCACTCTTATCTGTCCAACCTGTATTTGAAGCGTCCCAGCGACTTAAAGTTAATTATGATGGTTGGTAACTTATTCCACTCAATCACAACTTAAATTTCAAACTAATATTAACAAATTTCAAGCTTAAATATAAATTTATATAATTTAAAACCATTGTCATCTGTTCGCTCATGGTTTAATAGTTTCAGTACCTTAGCTGTTACCTTCATTTAACCCCATCAATCATCCATTTATATACCTCGATTATTTCGTCTTTCACTGTATATCTAGCAAGAGAGTCAAATTCAGCTGTTTTTAATGTCACCAAACTCAAAGTTCATAATACCCGAGATTAACTTTGAAGCAGGGGTACCTAGTGACAGCACTAGGATCCCGCTTCCTCTATCAAGGAATAAACACTTGAAATTGATTAACTTTGGCATCCTCTTCTGAATGCTTTTCAGGGAATCGATATAGCTGTACATTCTGTAGCACGGTGGCCAAATTGAACCGCATAATCCAAGTGAGGTCTCACTTGCACGAGATTTAGTTTAAGGATAACCCGGTTTGCCCTGTTACTAATTATACGCCCTATCCTTGTGTCATCAGAATTTTGTTGTTGTTGTTGTTGCTGCTGTTGTCTTCGCCTATATCTAAACCCTGAGGTACGCCACAAGTGACGTTACCCCAATCAAAGTTTGTGCCATTAATGCTAACTCTGTTTCCTGTAAGTCAACTATAGTCCAATCCAATTTAGAATTTCTCCTGCAAAACCATACCGCAAGCGTTGCGTGGTGTGGTGTCAAACATGTTGCGTAGTGTCGTGTGGTGTCGCGTAGTGTTCTTGTGTGTCGCGTGGTGTCGCGTGTGGTGTGTCGCGTGGTGTCGCGTGTGGTGTGTCGCGTGTGTAGTGTCGCGTGTGTTGTGTTGCACTGTGCAGTGTGTGTTGTGTTGCAGTGTGTGTTGTGTTGCATTGTGCAATGTGTGTTCTCTTGCATTGTGCAGTGTGTGTTGTGATCTCTTGCATTGTGCAGTGTGTGTTGTGTTGTATTGTATTGTGCAGTGTGTTGTGTTGTATTGTATTGTGCAGTGTGTTGTGTTGTATTGTATTGTGCAGTGTGTGTTGTGTTGTATTGTATTGTGCAGTGTGTGTTGTGTTGTATTGTATTGTGCAGTGTGTGTTGTGTTGTATTGTATTGTGCAGTGTGTTGTGTTGTATTGTATTGTGCAGTGTGTTGTGTTGTATTGTATTGTATTGTGCAGTGTGTTGTGTTGTATTGTATTGTGCAGTGTTGTTGTATTGTATTGTGCAGTGTGTTGTGTTGTATTGTATTGTGCAGTGTGTGTTGTGTTGTATTGTGCATTGTGCAGTGTGTTGTGTTGCATTGTAGTGTGTTGCTGCAGTGTGTTGCGTTGCATTGTGCAGTGTGTTGCGTTGCACTGTGCAGTGTGTTGCGTTGCACTGTGCAGTGTGTTGTGTTGCACTGTGCAGTGTGTTGCGTTGCACTGTGCAGTGTGTGTGTGTGTGTGTTGTTTGTATTGTGCAGTGTGTGTTTTGTATTGTGCAGTGTGTGTTGTCTTGTATTGTACATTGTGTTGCGTTGTATTGTATTGCGTTGTATTGTATTGCGTTGTATTGTGCGTGTGCGTTGTATTGTGCAGTGTGTGTGTTGTATTGTGCAGTGTGTGTTGAGTTGTATTGTGCAGTGTGTGTTGAGTTGTATTGTGCAGTGTGTGTTGAGTTGTATTGTGCAGTGTATGTTGCGTTGTATTGTGCAGTGTGTGTTGCGTTGTATTGTGCATTGTATTGTGCAGTGTGTGTGTGCGTTGTATTGTATTGCAGTGTCGTGTTGTATTGTATTGTGCAGTGTGTGTTGTGTTGTATTGTATTGTGCAGTGTGTGTTGTTGTATTGTGCAGTGTGTGTTGTGTTGTATTGTATTGTGCAGTGTTGTATTGTATTGTGCAGTGTTGTGTTGTATTGTATTGTGCAGTGTGTGTGCGTTGTATTGTATTGTGCAGGGTGTGTCGTGTTGTATTGTATTGTGCAGTGTGTGTTGTGTTGTATTGTATTGTGCAGTGTGTGTTGTGTTGTGTTGTATTGTGCAGTGTGTTGTGTTGTATTGTACAGTGTGTGTTGTGTTGTATTGTATTGTGCAGTGTGTGTTGTGTTGTATT